TATTTAATGCAGAAAATACATTATTCTTAATAACAGGAGTAGTAAGGTAAACATTTTTTAATTGTGACAAAAGAGAGGCTTACTTTTCAATGTTGGATATTGCTTTCTGTAAAACATCTCTAGATAGTTCTGTTCGTTCATCAACAGTTGGGTATCGTGTTAGTTGTTTCCAAGAAGTCCTTTTTTGATACCTTAAACTACCAAACAGTTTAAATTGTTTCCTACTAACACAAAAGAATATACCATCAATATCGGGATTAATATTTCTATACACAAAACAATTTAGAAAACGTACAGAAGAAAAAACTTAATATATAAAAACACTTTACCATTTATGGGTGCGCAAAGTTATTGAAGCTCATGACAGTTTTATTTAAAACATAAAAAAAACCATTAATATTTACACACTTTTGCAACATAAAGTCACCGATAAGGAAAACTGATGTCAGTCTCATAACTTTTACAAACTTAAAAATGTTACAATTAACTAGAATGCGAAGTAGCGTTTAAACGTAAAACAAATTTCATAGGTTAACTAAACGATAGAAAGAATAATAAATGAACTGAAAACAAAACCATAACGAAATAAAAATAGAATTTGCTACCTCACATTCCTTGCTCTTTCGAAAAAAGTGATTACATTAATCATTAAATTCACAATTTTTTTTTATCCTTACTTTTAACGATCTCGTTATACTGACATCATGAATCCTGCCCAGTTTAAGTACATATGCCTTACAATGAAAATTCGTTTGATAACATGAATTAATCTGTTGTTCTAACTACTTAATTATTGCAGCTCAGCTTGTATTTGGACTCGAGGATTTTCCGTAACCTGAGCCAGAAGGTGAAGAAGGAAGAATATGGGTGACGTACAGATATTTAACATTGATAAATAGTATGTAAATAATGATTACATGAATTAATCTGTTGTTCTAACTAGTTAATTATTGCAGCTGAGTTATCAGACTGACACCAGTTTCCCATATCTTAACTTTTAGATTTTAGAATTATTTCTCTTTGTAAGGTATCTGTACTGAAACTGTAAAGGATTCATAATGTCAGTGTAATGAGGCCGTTTAAAAGTAAGAATACGAAAATTGGGAATTTAGGAGTGATTAATGTAATCAACTCTATTTTCGAAAGGAGTGTGAGGGAGCAAATTCTTTTTATTTTGTTATGTTTTTGTTTACAGTTAATTTATTCTTTCTATCGTTTAGTTTATCTGTTAATTTTCAGTTTACACTTAAACGCTAGCTCACCTCCTAGCTAATCGAAGTGTTCTTGAATCTTCTCTACTTTCCTGCTCTGGTTCACCTTACAGAAATTGTTCGAGTTCAAAGACCACTCAGGTTAAGTAGAGGACGTAGATGACTGATCGGTATGTTTCGTCGAAGGATGAGAGGTGTCCACACCAGAATAAGTCCTTTATTTTGATGGAGGGGGTCGCAATCTCAAACCTTCTTGCGCCATTGAAATTTTCTGCAACGGCAGAGGACGATGACCATTTTCTCTGGTGTAGACAGAATTTTCACTAGAGAAAATATTTATTTTAGACACGTAAAATTGTCATATCATTAACATATAATGTAATTTATATAGAAATGGAGTAAGACAAGTAGTAACTTCGAATAGTCCATTCAATATTAGAATAAAATTTACTACAGAATACAATTGCTGTATTAACGATAGCAGTGACTTACCTACTTTTGTCCGAAAGAGACTAATGTGAGTAAGCTTGTCGCTGTAGCTTCCGGTGTTTTTCAACGTTATATATTGTCTTCTGTATAACATTTATAGATAGGTCTGTTCGTTCTTCTACGGTTTCAGGTGATGTTAAGTATTGTTTTCAAAAAAAATCCTTGTTTGACCCCTTGTAAGGTATCAAATAGCTTGCATACAGTTTATGAATGAGCCCATGGCCAGAACTTCCCCTAACACGAAAGAACAATATACCATTAAGATTAATATTTCTATAAATAAACAGAAAAGGGAACGGAAGAAAAACGTGTATATAACTTAAAACAACAACACTATCTCACGTGAGAAAATTTCCAGAAACTCATGATAAAGTCTTTATTCAAAAGATAAAAGAAACATTTTAAAAATTTTGAAACATAAATATCTACAAGTCACCGGTAATGGAAACTGGTGTCAGTCTCATAAAACTTTTAGAAGCTCTAAATGACGTAACTGATTAGAATACGAAGTAGCGTTTAAACGTAAAACAAATGTTACAGGTAAAAATAAACAATAGAAAGAATAATAAATGAACTGAAAACAAAACCATAACGAAATAAAAGTAGAATTTGCTACCTCGTATTCCTTCCACGTTCGAAAACCGAAGTGATCACATTAATCACTGCTTATAAATTACCAGTTTTAGTACACTTACTATTAATGATCTTATTATACTGACACCATGAATCCTGCCCAGTTTAAGTACATATACCTTACAAAGAAAAGGCGTAGTGTTCTCAGATCTGCAGCTTCTCTACCTTCTGCTGCGATTCAGGTTACGGGAAGTTAAGTCCAAAGACCAGCAAAGTTGCTATAATTGATTAGATCAAGAGATTTGAAATAACGTGATCATTAATTATATACTCCTTAACAACTTTAACATCTATAAGTCACCACTAGAAAGATAAATTCAAATTTAAAATTGATGCGAATAACTAAAGTGCAAACGAAAAATTCATACACTAACTAAATGATGATAGGATGAATAATAAACAAACGGTAAACAAATCGAAAACAAAATAGAATTAAAAACTTTCTACCTCACAGTCTTTCCCCTTTAGAAGAACTGATTACATTATTCAGTTTAAAATTAAATCCTTACTTTTAACGTTACACTGACATCCTACACGGTTTAAATACAGATATGGTACAAGAAAAACCACGTTTTTATAAATTCGAATTTATCTTTCGGCTCTAGTTCACCTTAACGAATTTCGAGTTCTAAGACCAGTTAAATCTGCAATAATTGAATAACAAATCATGTATATACTCTTTACCAATATTAATATCTGTACCTCACTGATATGGGAAACTGATGTCAGTATAATAATTCATATAAATTCGAAATTGATGAGATTAGCTAGAAGGTGAGTTAACGTTGAAGTGCAAATAAAAATCCAGAGGTTAACTAAACGATAGAATGAATAATAAATGAACGGTAAAGAAATCCATAATAAAATAACAATAGAATATGCTATCTCACACTCCTTCCGCTTTAGACAAAGAAAGAGATGATATCAAGTCATTCCGTATAAATTCCAAATTTTTGTATTCTTACTTTTAAGGTCATCGTTACACTGACATTATGAACTCCCCCCCCCCCACAGTTAAGTACAGATACTAGGACAAATTGTTTATGTTATTAACTCTTCAGATTCATCTTATGTAGTTTCTTGCTCTGGTTCACCTTACAGGGAGTGCTCGAGTTTCAAGACCATCTAGGTTGAGCACATGACTCTTTAGTTCGAAGGATGAGATGTGGACACGCCAAAATAAGTTCATCTTATTGTAAAAGGGGGGGACGCAATCTCAAAGCCTTCTTGCGTCGTTGAAGTTATATGTAACGGCATAGGATAATGAGCATTTCCTCTGGTGTCGAAAGAATTTTCACTGGAGAAAAAAGATTTATTT